ATGAGCAATAAACCTGCTTTTCCGTTTCCAGATGTCAGAGCTAGAGACAGCTTCACTCTGGTGCAAAACTAAGGGTACGAAGCCCCCACCTTTTTGTTTTTACCATGTGTGTGATTGGGGAGATTCCGCTTCGATTATATTGGCTCTAACGGTCAGAAAGAGATGTCAATCACCAAAATCGACCAATGGGTTCCAGAGAAACGGTAAAACCCCCATTTCCACCCAAATCACCTCAGAGGTGTTTTCTTTTTACTAAACCTCTCTAAAAAGGTCAAATGTCACTTGTTTTGCATCAATCTTGATACAGGGTACTTATTATATGTTGTACTTTGCTTGTAGTCTACCTTACCATCATCCAAGGGAAGTTTTCACTATAAGTAAAACATAATCTTTGGACGGACACTATAATTTACAGTTTTTTACTATGTTCAATCTGAATTTTCTTATATCTATATTGTTCTGACTCTTCTACATCCAACTCACAGGTTTATCATTACTTTGAGAACAACGATTATTAATTTAACCCTTTTAGAAGGAAATATATGGTCATTTGTTCTGGGAATGTCATTTTCGAGCCTGAGACCTGAAAAACAGGCTCAGGGCTAAACAGTTAAACGAAAGTACTGAGAACTGAAAACAGAAGCCTTGTCCCTTGTGTCCTGCACACATATGATGCTGGTTTGAGGGGAAGACCTCACTCAGGATCACGTGACGCTGACTCCAGTGACATCGCTTGAGGACATTTATCAGATTTCATACAGCTCACTTTGTAAACACTAAAGGCTTTATTTTACTTTATCAAATATGTAGACATAGTCCATCAACACCTGTAACATACTTTGATTTATACATTTATAAATAAATAAATGTATAACCCTTATCTTTGGCTGTCTTCCTTGGCACATTATAGCAGTCCCTAAGCCTAGTTTAGCCTAGCCAAAGCTTAGCCCACACGACCTTCTCTTCCAAACAAAAATACTCCTTTCAACAACTCCAACACTAATTTCAGATATTACAATTTAAACCACAAAGATAATAAATAAAACAATTTCCAGGATCAATACATTCAGATTAATCAGTAAACTGATCCTGACTTACCTGTTGTATTTCTGTCCCACTCTCACACTCTGGTAACACCCCTGTCTGTGTCTGTCTGTCTGTCTGTCTGTCTGTCTGTCTGTCAGCTTTACTATATTTGTCTGTTTGTCTTTACTCTGTTACTGCAGTTAACTTTTATCAGCTTAACCTCAGTCTGTCCTGTATATCTGCTGTTTGTGAGCAGACTTTCCTCCTTGCTATTTTTACATGATATGTTAAAAGACCCTGAGCAGCAGCGCTAAATTTAGTGTCAGGGTGAGGCAACCCCCGGGCAGAGCAGAAGGCAGCCTGGAAATGCAGAGAATTGTCATGAATTGGATGAAAACACGAGTGAAATCAATCTTTATTCAACAGGTGCCACAACATCAACAAAGAGAAACCAGTGCAGTGTGCTTACCGCAGTCATTCTGAATGCTGAAACACAGTATTGACATACATAACTTTGACAAGGATCCAAAGAGGAGCTCCGCCTCCAGACAACACCCCCCTGGCAACCAGTAAATCAGTGTAAAGAGTTTGCAGCATGAGATAGAATTATGTCCGTCCAAGCAATACAATGTTTTAATAGTCTAATATCCTAAATATTCTATCAAATTAAGTAAGTAGTGCTTTGCAACTGTATAGTTTGTGGCTTTTTTTGCAAAAAAATGCCTGAATGTATACTAGACCATTAGATATTTCTGAGTATGAGACGTGAGTTTACTAGAACTTCTCATTCTCTTAAAAATGCATTGCTTCTCTTCAGACCGTCCAATGTTTATAATAATGAAGTGTTGGATACAATTATTTAAAATGATTGCAAGGACGGTAAGGTAAAATACAGAGTAAAAACCTCACATACAACTTCTTACAGCCTAGCCCAAGGAGAAAACGTCTAAAATAACGTTCTCTAAATCAACCAAGAATAGCGACTCAACCATACGGCCTAATGCATAGAGTTGGTTTTCTTTGAAAGCTACGTAGCTAATGATTAGTTGTAGAAAAGTGTATTTGTTTTGCAAAAAATAGCAGTAGAGTAGAGGTGCGTTATGTGCATTATAAAGCTCTTAAAGTGATACCAATAATGTTACTGTAAACTAATGAGAGAATTATCCCAGACCTTTGATCACAACTCATTGGTCCAAAGATTTTTGTGAGAAGTTATTTTAAAAACCTCATAAGAAATACTTTTTGTTTTAACTCGTAGAGAGTGAATGAACTGAGTCCCAATGTGCGAACATAGGGACTCAATTATGTAGTTCATCGGCTTCAATAAGCACACAGGCCAAGGCAGAGTTAAGAGGCTTTCAACTGGCAGTCACAACAATCCTGGGAGGAGGGAAGGAAGTGGAACAAGGAATGGTTGGAGGGCTCAGGTTGCTTGAGTGAACAGGCTGGAGGTGAATCTTCAAATCCTACGGAGCTTGACGCTATGATAAATGGACCAATGAACCATGGGGCAAGTTGATTGGATTCAGTATAGAGGGTAATATTATTTGAATAGAGCCAAACGGCCTGACCTGGGGTGTAGCGGGGAGTGTCTATGGCGGTTGGCAGAGCCGTGGGAAGTAGGGGTGCTGAGGGTGCTGCATTACCCCCTGATGGAGGACAGGGGATCTGCACCTCCACAAGATTAAATACAAATATAATACAAAAAAAACTGTTTTTTGGCATAGGCGACATAGGTGGTCGCCTAAGTCGCCAGATCTGGGGGGGCACTGCGCTGGTAGCTCTGTGAGGCAAACGTTTTTTTTGGACCGTTGGTAATGTAACAACATTCATAATTAAGTGAAACCTTTTCACCTCGGTTACATTTTCCATTTGCCCTGTACGATGGGCGCTGTAAGTGATGAAAGTGGGGGATGGTGGCTCATCAGGCGCCCGCAGCTCACAGCCAAAGAGAGAGAGTGAGAGAGATTAGCCTCATCCCAATACCCCTCCTCGACTCCTCTCTTCCCCTCCTCAGGGACTTGACCCGGAAATCGATCAAGACATTTTGAAGGACGTCCCAATAGCTGAAATGCACATGGAGGAGTCGAGGAGGGGTGAGGGAGGAGGGGTGCGGGAGGAGACGAAAGGGAGGATACCATGGATGTATAATAAGAACTGGATACAGCGTGGGAGGCGGGGCCTCATTCATTCCTATGAGAGTTGCTCAATGGCGCATGATGATAAAATGGCCCAACTTTTGAGAGAGCGAAACGTCACAGATTACCCGGCATGCCTGAGAAGTACCAGTATGTGCGCTCATAGCTAGGGTTGCCAACTTCCAGAAATGGAGAAACGGGACACATGCATGTGTCCCCCGCGCGCGCGAAGATTTTCTGGTTTCTGGCGGATTTAGTTACTTTTTTTTGTTACTTTATTTCGGTTTTAGGGTTAGGGTTATGTTATTAACTCTTTTGGGGGAGCCAGCACCCTAGGGTTCGAGGGGTCAAACCCCCCCAAAACCCTCAAAATGCATAGAAAACTATGCATACCTATAACACAATACAAACACAATGATCTTACACCTGCATTAGGCTACTACATCACATTGTACATCAGCATGTTCAAATCGGATAGGTGGGCACTAGGGACATCTGGGCACCTCGATGTACAATTGGCTAATTTGTCCAAAATGTAAAAAAATGAGTGAGCATAATTCTTTCATGCTAAATGAAGCTCTGTTGGATATCACTAGATCCTGTTACAGCGTAATATAAGTACATAACGATTGATGTGTACATTAGCATAATTACTAGCTAGCCGCGGTGCTGTTATGTGTACGCAAATTGACGTGCTTGATGTGAACGAGCATTTTGGCTAAAGTTGCGCATGCGCTATGAGTAGGGTTGCCAACCGTCCCGTATTAGCCGGGACGTCCCGTATTTGAGCCAAAAGGGGCGTGTCCCGTACGGGACTTTGTTTGTCCCGGACTCCCGTCTAAAGGGAAAAATAAAAAATATTTTTCTGTTTGCGCGCAATGCAGTGTGTCTGGCTGCGTGCCTGTGTGTTTGTGTGCTGTGAGCGAAGGGCACTAGGACCGCTCAGTTGACAGGGCAGGCACAATGCTCGCACGTGTGCATCATTGTTTGTGTGGCATGTCAGCCTGTTCAGTCGTGTGGGGAAATGAGCGCTGCCGGTGGAGGAGGTGATGATGAAAGAGGAGAAGAGAGAGAGGATGTGGTTCTGGCCCCTGGCCCTTCTAAAAAGAAAAGACTTGTGTCTTACAACAAACAGTGGAAGAAAAACACAGTTGGGTAAAGCCCGTGAGTGGAGATCTTTCTCGGGTCTTCTACACATCAATCGTTATGTACTTATATTACGCTGTAACAGGATCTGGTGATATCCAACAGAGCTTCATTTAGCATGAAATAATTATTGCACTGTATATATATATATATATATATACACAGTGCAATAAGCTTCTTAGTGTAATAATAAGCTAAAGGGACGTTAATCTAACGTCGATAATATTAACTTTATTTAATACAACATTTACGGTACAAGATTTAATCATACAGTCCATGTAGTATAATATTTTACAAATGATGAATTACAGCAAACATGTGCAATATATCCATTATTACAGCTCCGTGGGATGGCAGTAAGGCGATATGGGTCCGTTCTTATTGTGCATCCATGGGTAACGAGAAACTCATGTAGTACTGAACACGTAACTTGAACGTGCCGGGCGGCGCGGTCCCGTGGGTTAGATGCGCGTTCATAATGCAGAGGGAAATAACTCTCAGAATAACGTTATTAGCACATTTTTACAACTTGAGGAACGAATGTTTTTAATAAGGGCTATACAAGTGTTCATACTGGGTAGTTTATTTAATTAAAATTAAAATTATCCAACGAGTTACAGACCACTCTTTCCCAATGTAAGTCAATGGGAAAAGGTGTTTCCGGGCCCAGCAACCTAAAGGAAGTGTAGTACCGCCGTTTGGTCACAACGAATATTCTCATCAGACTCCGGCGCACTTCCTGGGGGCTTGGAGGATACCAAGCCCCCAGGAAGTGCGCCGGACTCAGATGAAAATATTCGTGCTGGCCAACCGGAAGTGGAACGTTATTCATTAGCGGTAGCTTAACTTTGAATCTCTGTGTTGCCTGGTAAAGAGTGTTTGACATTATATGTTAATGTGTTTATGATGATAAGAGAAGGGAGACATGTTGTATTATAGCTCGTCTAGATTATTATTTCTATAGGGTTTGGCATTATTATGTATATCATTTATGTATGCATAAGTTATCTTATATTGATTGTATTTTGTTTATTTCCCTTGTAGGAAAGACCACACACACACACAGAGACAAATATCTGTATGTCTGCCTAAATAAGTAAAGAAGTCAAACCTCATCGTAGCTCCTCATTTCCTCTATTCTGGACCTTTGGCCTTAAGTGGTGTTCTGGCCGACACACCTGGGTGAACCTAGTGATAGACACAAAACTAGTGCCAACACTGAGTTATCTCTAACTCTCCACTACATTGATGGTCCTTCGAGCCAGATTTCACAAGGTTTACGTCAGAGATGGAACCATTACCAGGGTATGAGGCCTATGGTGCACGCCCTAGAAGGCAAACCCGCCTTCCAACGCGATATGCAGACTATGATGTGGATCATCTAGGATACATTAGTCAGAGATACCGACAGGAAGAAGAGACTTCTCATCTGGAGGGTAAGGCCAGAATGACCCCCCTCACCTCCCCCAATGACTCTCCCCCACCAAGGCACCTCAACAGGCGTGATGCTAATTTCCAGGAGATGGACTTTAGCTATGGGGCTGGCAGCCAGCAGCTGTTTCCAGAGAGAGAGCCGAGGGATCGGTTTCGAGAATACTCTACTCACCTGCCTACATCACTGCACTACAGACCTCCGCGTGAGGATGACAGAGTAGAGCTGGAGAATATTCGTCAAGAAAGGTTTCTACTTCAGCAGACACAGCGATGTATGTCATCAGATATAGTTGAGCTCAAAGCACTGCAAGCAGACATGAGACAGTTGGTGGATACTGTCCGTAACCTTCAGACCCCATCACTACATGGCAACAAGCCAGAGTTAACGGTGATGCAGCCACCGGCACAGTTTGTAGGCGAACCCAATAGTGAGGATGAGGATGATTGGCCTGCACCACCACCATGGCCT